AAATGAAATATATGTGTATATAATATAACCCATAATCAAATCGGGCCGTTTCATTTCAAGAGAACTGTCGCTTGCTCCACAAGGAATTATGCATGAATCTTACCGCATTCTTGTCCTAAATTTTTTATCTCACAATTCTATTGGTAATCGCTTAACAGAGTTTGAAATGGCCCGTTTTTATAGAATGTTTTGAATTTGGTTTGTTGCTTTATTTAAATTCAATGTCCCGGGTCGTACACACAGAAATTTACTGCATGTTCCGTTTAGCCGTGGTCTTCATCATCATGATCAAGTTTTATCATTATCATGTAATGGAGTGATTGTTTTTTTAAGGTTGGGTGGGGGGTGTGTGTGTCTGTATACTCCATATATGATATTGTATGTTTCATTGTTTATTTAAAAAAAAAAAAAAAAAAAAAAACACCCTTTAAATGTTTTGTGTTCATCGCTGTTGGTTTTTGAATAAACAAAAAATAAAATAAAAAATAAAATTAACGATCAGTTACTTCAAATCGGCTCCTCACAATGGACAGTACTTTCCAAAACTTCATTCACACTGACTACAAGTACTCTAGGGCGGATGCAAAGGGGAGGGGTGTGATGTTGATATATATTTCCGGGCACTTGAGGTCCATATTCTCAAAAATGTTCTCGCTTTAGCCCCGGCCCAACCACCCGATTCTACTGATATATCCGATATTTATCAGTTTCGGGGACATCACCATTCATGATGGCCGTCACCAAACCCGATTAGGGGATTCTAACCAGATGATTGATGACTTGTGCAGTCACCAGTAGAAGTGCATCAGTATTTTATTTGTCACGCACCCCCTAAAGCCAAATCCTGCATCCGCCTCAGGTACTCCATCTAATTCAGAATGTACCGTACTTAAAATCAATACAAAACGACGTATGGTTTTCATCATTTATTCAACATCTTCCATAATTATATACTTAAGAATGATAACCGGTTAATTTGGATTATACTGTCCGGCCATAATTTCTTGGGGGAAAAATACGGATATAAGTGGATCTGCCGTGGCCTTCCTCCTGTCGCCAGAGCCTCATTAGCCTAGTTAGCTTAGATGAATTGCTACTAGTTTTCCAGGGTGTACCGCTTGGAGGTAGAGGTTGACTTGAAATGTCCGTTGACATCTCCTACACCCCAAAAAAGTGTTTGTGGGAGGAAACCCACGACAGTGTGATAGATATCCGTTCGTCATCATGCAATAACACATGCCTGAAATGTAATTTATAATATGTCAACACCATCAATATATTCAGCCGACAACATAAGGCACAAGCATGGTGACATGAAGTATAATATGAGTTGATGAATATATATGTACAGTATGCGTTTTATTTAAAGATACTTTAATAGTAAACGATGTAGGGTTGATGTGTTGGGTTTTATGCCTGTATATGGATTTAATCTAAAGAACCAAATATTAGATCTACCAGTGAGCATCATATATATTATTATGTATTATATAATGTGTATATATAGGCCTCTAGATTAAAATTTGGTGGACAGTACATGAGCGCAGATTTGATGTTAGTCGGGCTTGAATGATGTTATTATCCATCCTCTCAATATTACGAATACGAAATCATTTTACCGTGCTCTAAATTTGCTATGCTTAAATAACCTAACTGGCTTATCTACCTGAACTGGCTTATCTACCTTAACTACTCCCAACTTATGCTAGCTATTCCTATGGACCTAGTCTAATCTATGGACCTAGTCTAATCTATGTTTATACAGCCGATTTGATACCAGAGAGGATGGAATACAAAGTGCTAAATGGTTAGTCAAGGAGTTCGAAAATAAACATGGTAAAAGTGATTATGTAAAACAAAACAAATACAGGTAATTATATAAATCTGCGCTCAATGAGACGTCCTGTTTGATTTTTATCTAGTCCGATTATATTTAAATTATTTTGTAATTGATTATTAATTATTGTTATATTGTATGTTATTAATTTTATTTTACTATTATTATATTATGTTTAATTGAATTTCTCAGTAAATTATATTTAGAATATTATTGTGCGGTTGCTTTATTGTATACAGAAATATTTTAATGTTTTGATGATGCAGGGTCAATGTAAATATGCAATATGTATTTTCTAAGTTTCAGTATTGTAGGAATGTTCATTAATAATCACTGTGACCTAAGGCCAAGTATTAAAATAATCAAAATCCTTTGTAGCCTGACAGGCTGGCTATTTCTGTGTGTGGATTTTGTCTAAATATATTCTCCATCATTAATGTTGTCGGCATCATATCAGCAAAATGACATTAGCACAACATAATACAAAAACATTGGGTGAATAATGTAATTTGCCAGTGCTCTGCAATTGTTGATTACACATTTTAGAATTATACAGGCCACAAAGATGACAAGAGTTCAGTCGACCATTGCGTTTCACCTTCACCATCAGTACGGTAGATACGGGACAGCATCGACAGCATGGTAATAACCTCTCATTTCCAAATCACTATAAAAGAAAAAAAAAGTATTATTATCATTATTATTATTATTTATTATTAATTAAAGTATTAATGTGGGTTTTTTTTCGTAAATTTTTAGATGGAGAAAAAAAGCAAATGGTATAAAAATATCAAGACAGACAGGAAATTGCATTTATATTTATTAATGAAACGTATGCATTATAGTATCTATTAATCGAATTATTGCTTCGATACACCTGTACAGATTATGGTTAACAAAAAGCTTGACATCAGTTTATATCAATGCATTACATATTACCAGTCGTTTATTCTATCTTATTCAGTACCAGGAACCTCACATTGGATCATTCAATCAAAACATAAAAAAGGGAATGAAAATAAAGAAACAAAAAGTACGGTCCATAAAACAATTACAATTTAATCTACAGTACACATAAGTATATGAATAAGACTAACTGTTCGTTACTTATTATTGGTAAGCCTATGTTTTTGGTAAAGAACAATTGTAAATTCTAATTGGGTTCGCAGGTACATCGTGGTTTTATTACATACAGTGTTTTTCATGTTTTCCTGTCTTGGTATATATTATTATCATTATTATTCTGTTGTATTTGTTGGTTTTTAAATTTGTTTAGAATTAGTGGTAGGCGTATGTATTATAAAAGTGAAGTTTAAATTGCATGTTTTTTACTATTGATACCGACAAATATAAAGTTGATTAGACACACCTGCACTAGTTTTACTATTCATAGTGTCGTATGCCAAGACCAAAACGCTCTTGCATATAAAGAGTAGGACTAGACCTAAAGAATCATTATGATTAAAATAATTTGAATGCGGACAGCAAATGAATGCAGATCTTTGGTCTGTTAATCAGCTGTTAATCGAATTTGAAGTTACATGAAGTATGGCATGCTAAAAGGTTATATGAATGAAATTATGTGAAGATTAATAAAGCCAAAATAAAAAACAATGAAAAGCAAAGCCGGGCACCTAATACGACGAATCCAACTCCGCTCCCTGTGACCGCTAGACGGCGCGACGCCGCCTACTGATTGTCGGCGGTGGCAGTCTGAAAGAATCGTCATTAAAAACGATCCGTTGCGCGCGCGTTATAGTGTTGCCCAGCATAAGTTTGATTTGCATTCAAGAGATGTCCTGTTTGACTTTTAATCATTTTTTTTTTTTGTCCACGTTAAATTTGAATAGAAAATTCAGAATATTGTCCGGTATTCGAGCGTATTGGTAATGTTTGTAAACCCTTACCATTTTGTTTATGATTAAATTGTGAAACATCAGTAGTTCATCTTAAGATTTTACTTTGATATCCTATTTAACTATGGGAAGTATTCCTCCATCTTTTGGACGCCAATGTCTATTTTGTTACACTTTTTTAAATTTTAATATTGAGTTTGAATAATTATATTAACATTTAAATAATAATAATAATGGAATAATGTGTTAGCTCAATCTGGCTCAATGAGCCAATGATACGCATAATGTAACGGTTGACCAGACGAACAGGCTGATAAGATCCACCCAACGACACATGATCCGGTTGGTGGATTCTAGGCCTACACTTCACGACGACAGAGGATGGGAACATAATTATTCAGGCAAACAGTTTATATTTTATCTGAAAAGATATGAAATTTACATTTAATGTGATTAACCACTTGAAAATATGGTGCCGCCGGGATTTGATCGAGGTGGGGGGGGGAGGGGCTGGGGCTATGCTGCCAACTGAAAGGCTGCCATTTCATCAAGTGGGTGGGTCAGACTAACCAAGAGTTCCTCATAAGAAATTTTGGGGGAGAGGCCAACAAAAACTCGTACAATTAATGTATTTAAGAGTCTCACATTCTGTAATAATTACATTTAGGGGCCTTATTTTTTGCTCCTCGATTAAGGAGGAGGAAGCTCTTTGAAGGGTACGCTCTCTTCCACCCATCCACTCCCACCCTCACTGGCGCCAAATGTTAAAATAAATCGAAATCAACACAGCACAACACAAAAATAAGTCGTAAGTTTCGCATCTCCAACACCCAAGCGTGATGTCACTGATTGCCTGAAATGATAGAATGCTTTTATCTCAAATAGCATAGTACATAACAAATCAATTATGCTGTAAACGTGATTGCAAAGAAATGTCGAGCGTGATTGCAAAGAAACGTCTTCAATCCAAATGTCACCATAAATAAACGCAATTTATCTGAAATGAAAAAGATGAAACAAAATTTTATAAGGTAACAAGGTAGCAAAATCACGAACATAATTTCAACAACAACAACAACCACACCAAAGAAACGAGTCACCGACACCAATTTTTTCACAATTATTTTAATAGCAAGAGATTAAATACAGAGAAATAATATATTCATTTCTCCGTGATACATAGTACAATTACACCAGTCAAAGCAGATGATACACTTACTAAATAAGAAAACAATGTCAAGTATATAGTATGTTGCTAGGACAATTACGCTACGATTTCAAGAAATGAGACACAGAAACCAAGTTTTTTTTTCACACTTATTTATTTTTTGTCAAATACATGCCCATTATGTGGGACGATACAACCATTTTAAACGCTATACAGACATTCAAATTTATTCCAGAATGAAGAAAGATACAAGAAAGTACACTATATAGCACCTTCTTGTCTAAAGTGAATATGGAAAAACAACACACTAGAAAAAATTGTCAATAAACACAGAAAACTACACTGCCACCAGACAGTGTTTCACTCTGATAAGAGAACTAAATTCCTGGCAGCTGTTGCTACCTTTATCAAAATAATGACCTAAAATATCCACAAGAATAACAAATAAAAATTGGTTTACAAAAATGGGCGAGTACATGTGATAAAGAAGCTGAAATAAAAATTGCATTGTTAGTTCTTACTTGGTTTGGATCTTTGAGACCCTACTTGAATCGATGTCTTGCTAGAAAAAAAGTGTCAGCGTATCACCACAGTGTTTCAACTGATAAGAACTAAATTTCGGGTAGGTTGCTACCTTTATCAAAATAATGACCTAAAATATCCACAAGAATAAAAAAATAAAGTTTGGTTTACAGAGAGGGGGAGCGCAGGTGGTATAGAAGCTGAAATAAATATTACATTGTTAGTTCTTACTTGGTTTGGTTCTTGAATAGGCCCGACTTGAATCGACGTCTTGCTGCGTTAGTGACCTACCTGTTGCTGAGACGTATTTGGATATATATTCGACGGTACCAATGTGCTCCAGGATACTTGCACAACTGGAATATTATGCTTATTGAGAGTGGCCTAACTGTTAGTTCATTGGCATATATAGCTTTAATTTATCAAAATGTTATCTGTAGAATATCTATAGGTTTAGGTAATTCTCCGAAGTCTATAGATACATTTTAATATAACCTATGCTTTATTCACTTCCAATAGCACTTTCTTCAACCTCTTACAGAGTTTCTATATGATTCGATAAACTACATTGCTAAAGAATTGTTCTAAAAAAGCTTAACAATATACTGAACAGGCCTTAGAAAAGTAATGTATTGAATGTATATAGCACTTAGTCTACATCTATAAAGGTATTTAGATCATATTGAATTTATGTATAAAACATAGGTTTTCACAATTAGGAAAAAGCTAACCTAATAATATAGTTCTATAAATATTTTAATCTAACATGGTATATTAACAATAACATGGTAGGTCTTTACTTTTTCCTAATCATGGTTCTATAAATATTATACATTTCTTTAAACTTCGTAATAGAGTTTCTATAGAAATCAACAACTATTTTGCTAAGAGAACGTTTTAAGTAATAAAACTATATGAACAGAGCCTTAGGAAAATCATATATTGAATTTCAATAGTAATACCTCTACATAAGTCTATAGGTCTTATTTAAATATTTATAGAATATAGAATTTATATAGATTTCATAATCTAACCAATAATATTTTATACACTTTCAATAGCACTTTCTTCTTTCTTTATATATATATAATATAATATATATATATATAGGTCCGTATATCAATATGTTTTCACAATACATTTTCATCCTGACCTATAGCGTTCCATCAATTTTCTATAGCATTCTCTTAAACCTCTATAGACTTTCTATAGAATTCTATCAACTATTTCGCTAATGGAATGTAAATAATCATAATCAATCAGTGTGCTTCAGCATGCTTAATTTGCACAACTGTATGCATATCCTGTTGGCCTAAGTGTTAGTTCATTTGCATATTTGCATTATTATAATAATAAATCTTATACCAACAAACCATTAGAAAAATAATGTCTTGAATTTCTACAGAAATCATCTACAGCAGTCTATAGGATCTTATGAAAATCTGTAGAACAACTATAGGATTCATAATAAACCATGTTTATTATGAAAAATACATAATCTATAGACTTCGACAGATTACCTAGCATCATTCTCTAGAGACAGCCTTCGTATATAATTCTTTCAACCAGTGTGCTTCGGCATACTTATGTTGCACAACCGGATTACCAAGCATGTTTGTAACGAATTCAGAACAGATTCAAAAGCGAGCATTATTGAATCAGGGCAACATTAAATATAACTTTCTTAAATATTTTATGCAATGTCAACAATTTATCGTAATTATATGTAAATAATAATTCTGTTTTTATGTGTTAGTATGTGGGAGAAAAGCATGAATTTCAACCAAAAAGGTATAAGAATATGCCAAATATCTTCTTGATTTCATCATGTGTTAGTTCTTACTAGGTTTGATGCTTGGGTGCACGTCTTGATGAGGAGGATAACAAGGTGTAAACGTCAAAAGACTCCAGTGGGCGGATATTATTTTCGGCAATTTTATTTGAGGCATATACTGTAGCGTATCTGCTGAATAATTACAATTCTTTGACTATGAATACCAGTTTAATCTATGGAATCATCACCTGTAAATCAAAATGTGACAAACATAAGCGACATGCTTTGTGGACCGTGAATGGTTAATGGCCTATTTGTAATTATTATAATTCTTATATTTATGATATATTTTTCTGTGATTCCACATTCGGTAGTTATCTTACCATTAGGCCTATAATCATGTATAGGCCTATAGGCCTAATATTGCTGTTAAATATATAATTCATCATTAATGTGGTGTACTTACCCACTGTTATCTCCATCGGTCCACACCCTCCCCCTACCACATTTTAAACAGGAATGAACGAGAATGCAGTAACTTGTTTTTCCAATTGGTTTTGCTACCACCTGGTATTCCGACATGTAAATATATTCTTCTGGTTGTTCAGATGAATTCGCGCACAGGTTTTTAACCATTGGTCTCTAATTAGACGGGCATTAAACGTGGTCTTTTAATATCTCTATTTAGAGGGAAATTATAAAAATCGTATAGGATATGTAAAATTGTTATACACCCCCCCCCCCACCGGCAATGGCGGCCGCCACGCCCAATTTCTAAGTTATTAAAAGAAAAAAGGACTATGACCTTATTTTACCCTAAGCTTGATAATAATAACAACTACAATAATAATAATAATAAAATAATAATAATAATAATAATAATAATAATAATAAAATAATATTAATAATAATAAAATAATAACAATAATAATAATAATAATAAAATAATAATAATAACAATAATAATTAAATAATAATAATAATAATAAAATAATAATAATAATAATAAAATAATAATAATAATAATAATAACAATAATAATAATAATGATAATAATAATAATAATAATAATATTAATAATAATAATAATAATATTAATGAAACTAAATACGGTAATAATAATAATTACATCTTTACATTTTACAAGAAAATAACCGACAGAAAGTATTTATTTTTTCTGCTCAATTGACACGAACACAACGTTATACCCCCAACACCGATTTGTCTTTTAGAACGTTTTTCAATCAGTAGAGATCGAATACCTGCATGCAAATATCATACATTGTATCGTGTAGGCCTATCTTTTATATTAATAGTGAAGTTTTTTGATCATTTTAATATAGGAGCGATCAAACACTCAAAAAGAGTATAAAGGCTCTTTTATTTATCATTTAAAATGCCCATGTTGCCAGTGGTGGCGCCAGGACCTACCCGACGGAGGGGCTAAGGGCCCCGACGGGGGGGGGGGCTAGTGGAGCGAATCGAATCTCAATTGGCTGGGGCCAGGGGGCCGCCTAGGGCCCCCGGTGGGGGTCCACGGAAGCCACGGTCCCTGGTCTAAATGAGCATTTGTCATAACAGAACGCAAATTATTTTTAATTAGTCTCATTGACTTATTATTATTATTATTATTATTATTATTATTATTATTATTATTATTATTATTATTATTATTAATATTAATAATAATTATTATTATTATTGTTGTTGTTGTTGTGATGAAAAGTTAACACACACAATATGGTGGCTAAACGAATATTACAAGTAAATGTTTTTTTTTATTTGTTTGTTCCCCGACAAAATTTATCGTCTTCCCCGACGGGGGATATAGCCCCCCCCCCCTCTTCTGGCGCCGCCACCACTGCATGTTACATAGTTTATTAATAGACAGATGCTTAATAGTCAGACTCAAGGGCCATTTTTTTGTTTTTGTTATGTTTTGTTTTATTATCGGTATGTAGGTACTGGAAAAATAGGCCTACAATTTTAATTGTATTGTTCATTTCCCAGTGCATCATATACTGTGTCTATGCATGGACCTATTAAATAGGTCACCCATGGTCTATGCAAGTAAATACAAACACTAGGGAAATAATAAATAGTGAATATATATGCGCCGGCATTCGCATGGACCGCTCTGGTAAAACAGATGTTTCTTTACGGTCTGGACTTGAATACAATGATATTTTCTGCAGACCTGATGTGTAGGGACAGAGAAATGCTAAAAACACAAAGTTTGTTTGCTTCCTAAACCGTCTAAAATCGTTTTGATAAGTGGTAGGCCTAAATGCAAATATTCCAGGGGGTGGGGCCTTGGCGGCCCCCCAGTTAATCCCTCGCCGCGCATAACCCCTCCTCCCACTGTCCCAAGTTGTAGTGTGCTTCGCGCCACCCACCCACCCGCAGATCCATCTTGGATCCGCTCGTGTCTTTGGTCTCTAAATTCAACCTGGGCCGCAGAAAAGTAGTCTTTTTGTAATAGGAGGTGGTATTTTATTGGACTGGTCTTTATTAGGGGGGAAAATGGCAACTGTCAATGACATGTGTGTTGAATTAAATAAAAAATGAAACGAAGCGATAAATTGTTGATAGTTGGTTTGGGCTACTATTGGGTCTGAGTCACGGTTTTGAGCGGCAGTTTGCAGTACCTGGTGGCGCGCTGGCGGAGAGAGAAAGAGCTGAAAAAGAGAATGCAACAAAAACACCGATGATGATGAGCAGATGTTGTAAGGGTAATCTCGCTTAAAACGCCGGTAAAATGAAATAATATCAAACAGATATTATAATTAACCGTGTATTGGATATCGTAAGTGTTTTCTACTAAACTGTTAGTGTAGGGAATTTAATATGATTTATATAATTATTGTTATATTTATCTTCTCTCTCGTAGGCTATAAAAACACAGCAATAGCATGACCCTCTTGTGCAACGACAGACCGACGATTCGCCGACCGTCCCCACTTCCCTTTTCATAGGAAACTCGTTTAGTTAGGCCTAGCCTAGGTAGTTTATATAATTAATAGGCCTTGGGCCAGTCATCTCAAATAGTTCTTCCGTAGTATGATCTGGTAGGTTGTAGGTGGATTAGAGTGGCATGATTATAGATGTCAATATTAATAATAATAAACTCAGGTCAGGCTCACTTTCTTGCATCCTTTTATTTAGTTAGTTTTACCTAGGCATACCATAGGCCTAGTTTTATTTACGGAAATTCGTTGCTCGTAAATATAATACATTATTAAAACTATCAATATTAGTAAGAATATAATGATGTAAAATACAGTTTGAAAGGCAAAAAAAATTAGTTATGTTTTGAAATTTTTATTAAAACATTGGATAGCCTGTAATAAGAAAGAAAGAAGATAGCGGTTGGTTCGAGAAGTAGTGTCCAGAAACAGCCCCTGGCGCTCGATATGATGGTACTTTAGTTTATCATGAAGGGGGTGATTTGATCTTCCAGAATAGAATGGAACAGTCTTGATATATTATCATGATAATCCTGGCTTATCAACTTTTGGCACCCACCTACCATCATATCATATATTATATAATATGATGAAAAGAAATGGAATGAATAAAACAGTGCTAGAAACAAGATATGGTCTAGGCCCAATAAAATATTTATTTTCATCATAAATAATAGGGCCTATACTAGGCCCTCTATACATATATGTCTGATACTAATGTTTCTTATATTTTTAATGTATGAGAAAAATGTTCAATGTGACTTACAAATTCTTATCAAATGCAGATACCTATGCCTAATAAGGCAGGAATAAGTAAGCATGAGACGCTCCAAAATTAGACCTTCCATTAATCTTGCTGCATCAAGGCGGTTATCCCAAGCTACTGTGTTGAAAGCAGATAATAAAGTCCCGAAGCCACCATCGAAGGAGACAACAGGACATCCACCTGTTCCTGCAACAGAAACGCGCAGTGCCGATGTACCAAATGCTAATGCACCTGAGGTTCCTAAGCCTAGGCCCGTGTCACCTGGTTCCGACTCACCTAATCTCAGCTTATCTAGCCTTGAGACCATTAGACATGAAGTTTCCCAAGTACATAAAACAGCTGAATCTTTGGAAGCTTCCCCCAGTGTAACTACTATTACAGAAAAGGTAATAATTATAATTAATAACATTGTCATTTAAAAATGAAAGGAATCTATTAAATAATTTGTAGCGTAGTTGAATAATAGCTTGGTAAAATGCTTATCTTCCCAGTGGCGAATTCCAGGGGGTGGTAGTATTCTTGCTGTTGGGTGTTACATTAAAAAAAAAACAAGATAGTTACTTTTTCATTGATTTTTTTGTAAATTTGCAATAGCAACAGGTGCAAACACAAGACACTTCTATTCCGGGAACAGAGTCAGCTGAAGAGGGAACATCACAATCGAAAGACAATTCAAATCCTCAACGCAGGAGGCGGATCTCAGCCAAACCTAATCTTGGTCAGCATCGAATGCGGTTACCAGTACCTCCACAGCCAAGCAGAGGAAAGTTACCTGATGCAGTGAAGAAAAATATTAATGCTGATACTTCTGATACCAGTGGTGCTTTAATTCGCAATAGTGATTCAAATAAACCATCAGAGCCACCCCCAGTGAGGAGAGTGGTTGAGTCTATTAGAAATGCTGAAGGTACAAAGTTATTTTGTTATTAGTTTGCCCATTATGTAGAAGGGGTTTTTTGCATGTAGTCTCAGAAAAAATAGAGGTTTTTCAATGGATGGATCGTTTTGCCAAGCCTGCTCCTTGGATATTGTTGCTAAGGTCCCACAAAAGGAAATGCGTCGCACGAAAATTATACTTCTTTTTTTTTTTAGTGGGACCTGTGCATATTACTCCTGGTCCCACATGTTCAACGAAATGTTGTGATTGATCAGAAGTTAATTTTTATTTACACTCTAAAAGGTCCATAATTGTGCTTGTTGTTTTTGTGATCACAGTTTCCATACATTTAATTCCTCTCACTATTTAGGATTTACCATACTGAAAACATACATTACCTCATTACTTCATTATTACTACTCTTGTATTATTATTCTTCTGAAAGCAATGTGCTTAAAGCCCTGTCCAAACTATCAAATTGAATATGAAAAAAAACATGTGACATGCCTAAATATGGTCATGATGACATCACATCATGACCATATAGGCACATCATAACTATATATGGGCATACAACAGTGTTTTTTATAGTGTGGACAAACCTCAAGAAGTTTGTATCGTAATTATTTTTAACTGTTTTTCCAGTTACTTCTAATGTGGCAGCAGTCAATGTACCACAATCAAACAACAAGGAGACATCATCTACCTCAACTCAACCTAAACTTCCCACTTCAAAGCCAACTGTGCACCCGAAGGCCGTCCAGTCACCTTCTCGTCCAGAGCGTTTGGTTGAAAAGAGGGCGGCACTTCCCCCAAGCATTCAGGATAAGCGCATCCGAGACCTCAAGGCATTGCAAGCTGAGGTATCAAGCTACTTAGTTATGAATGAACTGTTATTTCCACTAATTTTCTGCATAATAGTACAATGATCGAGTTTATAAGTCAATTGTGACGTCAGCAACTACCAATGTTATTTTCCTATCCCTAACCATGCACTAATTTTCATTAGCACATGGTTTCCTGGATCTTTAGTCTTCAGTTTGTGTGCAGAATGCCAATTAATAAACTAAAATATTTGATAGGCTAATGAGATGCTGAAAGTTGATTAGTGTCTATTTTGCAAATTACTATTAAGTTAGAAAAAAAAGATAAAGATAGCAAAAAATAAAACAATAAAAAAATAATTTTAATAACAATTATAAAAGAGTTAAAGAGGAGAACTCTCTGAGTGGCTGTTAAGGTTTTTAAATTTTTTTTTTGTAGACGCCAGCCAAACGGAGGAAGCGATATATAAAGAAGACAATCCCACCTGACCGCAGCAAGATGACTATGAGTGATCTGATCTACTACAACCCAAAAGCTAACCCAATGAAGTAAGATCATGCACAATATTTCAAATTATTGTGTTTGTTTTCTTTAATCAAAACAAAAACAAATTACATGCCTAAATATGGTCATGATCACATCATGACCATATATGGGCACTTCATGACCATATATAGGCACATCATGACCATATATAGGCATATAACAGTTTTTTGTCAAAGAAAGTGATAATCTCTAGCGAGCATAACTTTATGTTTTCTAGGTGCATTAAGAATCTTTAATGACAAACTCTTAAATTCAAAGTCAAGCATATGAGTTTTATGTCATCATAGATTTAAATCTACAAGAAAGTATTTTATATATAAAGGTGAATATACGTGAATTACGAATTACGTGAATATATGGTTATCATTATCATTCCTTTTTTTACAGATTTTTTACATTTTAGTGTAAATATGTGATTTTGATAATATTTATTTTTTAATTATAAAGCCTTAAATTTATTCTTCCAGATCGTCATTGGTATCAAAAGAAAAAGTTAAACCGAATCAGGATAATTCTACCAATCTGAAAGAGAAGTCAAGGTTTGTAAATAGATATATGTAAAAAACTATGAATAAATAATTTGTCATTTTCTTTAGAATGAACTAAAGTACAAGGTTGGTTATATATATCAATCAATATGACTGATAAAAGGAAGTAAATACCCCAAACACAATGTAATGTAGTAGGATTTATATACCGCTTTATACCGAAATGGTCTCAAAGCGGTCGAGGTGTGGACTGTCTCTTACAGTAACTTGCTTCTCCCTTAAGGGTCTGTTTGTGTCTGTGCTGCTCTTGTCTGTCCACAACATGGGCTGAGTGGACCAATACACCGGGGTAACCCCAACTCGTCTCAAAGATGTACTGGGTTCTTTAAAGTGCACATGAACCAAATTGTGTATACTGGGCCTACGTTTTATAGTCCTTTGAAAAATACTTTTTCCACCACCAGAATCGTAGGTGAGCGTGCCTTTCGAACCAGCGCCGATATTATGGCTGAACATAGAGGCGCGCCTGCCTTAACCTCTTGGCCATCCAAGTCAAAGCATTTCTTAATAAAAGTTAAAGCCTCAGTTGTACTGCAGTAGTTTACAATTATGGTGATTCCCCTTCCCTCATTACCACTGATCTTATCTACAATATGTAATGTAATTGTATAACTGGTAATTATGTTAAATCTTACAAAATTATTTTTGATGTGATACATTCATTGTGGTCTATTTTATGCTTCAGTGCTTCAAACGAACCAGAGGATGAAGTGGATGGGGAGACTGGTACCAATGACCAGCAGCTGGCTCCTCAAGTTAGGATTGATGCAGATGGAAAAATAGTGATTGATAAAGAAAGGTAATAAATGGTATTTAATAAATTGATAATTTATAGATGTAGTTTAATATTACATAAATATATTGTTAATTTGCCATGCAAACCTATAAACAATATACATTTTAATTTTATTTTTTGTAATAATTATCTCAATTGTCATTTTTGCCTTATGGAAATACTGTAGTGCCATACCATAAAGGCGCATCGATCTCTGACTTATTGAAAGCAGTGGCATATCTAGGAGGTGCGAACGCCCCCCCCCAAAAAAAAAAAGCTGTCACATCCCTCCATTGAAAATGTTCAAAGAAAAGAAATTCACACCCATATCACCTTATTTTGCGGCCTAGCACTCCTCACATAATCATCAAGCCCCCCCCCCCCCCCCCCCCCCAATCAGCACCCCTATTTTGAGTTGTTGAGTTGTATTTACTCCTTGGAAGTACTTGTTTCAATATCACAGTCTTGGGTTCAGCAACTTTTTATGAAGTCTCATCAAATAATAAAGTGTCTTCTTTTTACAGTTTAACAGTTGAAGCATCTCCATTAAGAACATTTGTCACAGAAGACGCTGAAGTGGTCCATGAAGATTCTTCTAATGTAACGTATGCAAGTTTTCGGAAAAGGGTACACACAACAGCATGGACCAAAAGGGGTAATTATTGTTTAAGTTACAATAAATGCACAGGGCTCTAATTAGAATTGGGACTTTTTAAAGGGTGGTGCTAGTTAAGTCAACTCATTTCAATTTGTTTAATTACAATATCACCAAGTTGCAATCCCTTAACAGGACCAACGTTCACACATGCTGCTCGACATAAACTATGCCTTGTTCTTTTCCTACAGCACTATCAATGTGCAACAGAACAAAACACCTTAGTGCATAATCATTCATCAAATAACCAGATTGTTGTTCTATACCCAGATTATATATATGATGTCTTTTTTTCTCCTTATGTTCAGAAACTGAAAGATTCTTTATGGCACTGAGCATGGTGGGTACAGACTTTTCCATGATTAATGCACTCTTCCCGAAGCGGACAAGGCACCAAATAAAGAACAAATTTAAGCGGGAGGAGCGTGTAAATAGGGTACGCGTCGATAAAGCAATACGTGAGTATCTACTGGGTAGTCCGCTCACAGTACAGCATTATTCCAGAGTTTAAGATAACATCAGATGGCTATGTCATTGTTGCCTATAGGCTTACTACCAAGTTTATGTTCATATATGTTAATAAGAACAAGAGTAATAAAATATATATTGTGAAATATAATTATAACATCAAATAGCGACTGTGTATAATTCTGAATTGAATGAGGTAATGGAGTAAATATTAAATATGTCACTTTTTCCCAATTATTATTATTTATTTTCTGTAATCTTCATTTAAATTATATGTCATTATTTGTTTTTAAATAATGAGAAATTCACAATTACTTTCCTTATTAAACATTTAGGAGAAAAAACACCGTTGGTTAAGGCAATGTTTGAAGACGCAGACTCAGATGTTGAGAGTGGGACTGGTAGCAAGAAACAAACAGGAAAGAAGCAAAGTAAGATTCCATATTCTAAAAACTACATAATGTTTATATATGTTTGTTTTATGTTAATGCCGGTAATAAAGATACACCATGCAAATACATTTTAATAAACAACATTTAATATTACTTGATTTAGGAATGAAGAATAAAGTGGTGACATCTGAGGATGCAGAACTTGAGACAGAGGAAGCTGAGTTTAATGATAGCGTTCTTGACAATGATTCAGATCATGGCGATGCTGACAGTGATGTTGAGGTCACAAACATTCTTGCACGACCCACACGCTCAGGTCGAGTGCCGAAAGTCAGGGTCAGCTATGACAACAGTATTGTTAATGATGAACAGCCAGTGGTGAAAGATGCACAGTTGGTTACACAAGTTAGTTGTTCACCAATTGTTAATGGAACACTTGATGGACAAAGAACACCAGGTAAAGGCACACCTGGTCAAAGCACGCCTACAACCCCTATGCAAACTGTTTATGTTGTTACACCTCTCCAAGGTGGTAAACAGTTCATGATTAGACAGCATAGTATACCACAGCCTTCGCCAGCTGCCATTCAGGAACATTTAGAAGTAGCAAACACTCCTCCAAGATTCCCATCTTATAACTCTTCAACTGTTCAACAGTCTCCAGTGTTGCATCTGCAATCATCATCGCAGCAACTTTCTCAAACACCACCGAATTCTTCAACAAATATGCAAATTAGGATGCTGTCTCCTCAAAATTCAGTCAATTCACCGACTGGACCACACACTGTTATGACTCAACGTGTAGGAAACACACAAATTATTGTAGTTTCACCTGCTACGGGGCCAGGAAATATGACCCCAGGCCAACTTGATATTAGACATTCCTCACCTTCAACAGGTGTCCAAAACTCAACAGTACCTATTCAGAAAAATAATGCTGCAGCTTTTCAACACTCTACAAATACACCATCTGCCCAATCTACTGACCTCAATTGTCAAAATTCTGATATTCAACCGAGGACTTTTATTAGGATTCAACCAGGTAATGGCAACATGTCTAAAAGTCCAAACACTACTGCCATCCCTATAAGTGGTCTGGCTCAGCAGAGCCCAAAGCCACGTCAAACTACCAAAAAGGATTCTAGGACTAAAGCAAACCGAATTACAGAAGTCCGTTTGGATGAACCTTTCATACCACCCTCAATGAAATCAAAAGCTAGGCCTAAAGCAGGTGCCAACAGCATCAATATTCAACAAAAAGTTATTGTGCAAAGTTTACCTCAGAGTCTTGGGTCTGGATACAACGATGGTCATTTGCCAAAGCATCCAGAAGTTCTTTTGCTGGATGATGTCACACTTGCAGCACAAACAGAGGTCGTGTCAGATGTTGCTATGGAAGTTGAAGCAGAGTGCACAAATTCATGAAGGTCACAATAGGAAGCTTTCGATTTGCGTTGACGACTAGATGCTAAAACGGATTCTCTAATTTGTGACCATCCTACTTTCTCGCATGCGCAGATGACTTTTTAGTGACGTCATTACATTCTACGTACCACTGCGAGATGCAGTCAAAAGCTCCCTAATGTTCCAATAAGAGTTGTAACCCTTCAGGTCAAAATTGATAAATTTATCCAATTCAAGTGCATTCAAATATATTTTCAGAATTGACATTATATTAGTTACGGTATAATTTTAGGTAATAGGTTAAAGCCACCTATTCAAAAATTTGTTTGGCCATTGATAATGCATTTGAGTATGTTCAAATTATGTACTTTAGTATTTTAAATGACTGAAAGAAATAGGGTTCATGCATTATTCCTAACCCCTACTTTGATTAATTTTCATTTGAAGGGCTAGTTTAGCATCTTTCATTTAAGTGTGGGTGTATGGTACTGCTAAATGAAAAATAACTGTGTTGAGTGTTGTCAACTATATGATGTTTGTCACAAAAAACTTGACAGATTTATGTGCAATTTAATTTGATTTAAAAAAAAAGAAAAAATCTAAATTATATTTAATCCTACACAAGGATAAAAAATATCTATAATTTTCATAAAAAGAACTGTATTTGATTTAGTAGAGAATATCCTATAAATTTGAACTGAAGTGGTCCAGATCAAAGTGATAGTGGTCATCAAAATGGTAACTAAAAATAAAATACAGTGGCAGTATTTGACTGGTAGACCCTCTTCTGAGCTGTCCACTGCCAAAATCATACTTAACAAATGCAACTAGGTGTATGTATACCTTTGTCGCCCTATGTTTATTAAGGCTATTTTGTGAATAACTACCTAGATAACAGATGTATGCCTTGTTACCTAAATGACTTACCTACTAGTTAATAAATATGTAAATTCAACATTTTTCTGTCCCAGCTTATTTGTTTTCTTTTTGACTTGATAACTTGACAAAATATAGAAAGTTTCATTTGTTAAAAGAACTTAATGCACCTAATGTCTAACATTAACATTAAAGAGCTGGAAGATGACCAGTCAAATACAGCCATTTAATAACTATTTCAACATGTTTTGTCTTGCTTTGATGAAATTATAGTTTTCTTTATTCAAAATGATTTTTTTAAACTCAGAGAATATACCAAATTAAAAACATTTAAATAAAAGTGAAATTTTTTATAGGTGCTGGAAGATTACAGTATACCTTCTGAAACTTTTAACTGCCATCAGAATTTTAAAACAAAATAAATTAATTTTGATATTAATTGTGAGTACTAAATTTGTCTTAAATTTAGAAAATTATTGAAGAATACTGTGTTTTAATATACTTATGTGACTGAACCAGATATTTGATTTATTAGTATATGTTTACTAGATACAATGGGGGTTTTACATAAGATAGCATGATACCAGTGGTGTATCTTGGAGTCTTGAGGCTGTCTCTTATACACATCTAGATGTGTATAAGAGACAGGTCTTGAG